GTTGTTGGCACTTGGGGATGGGCAGGGCAGGGGTGGCCTCTGGTGGGGAGAGCCCAGGGATGCTGCTAAACACACAATGCATCAGACAGCGCCTCATGGCAATCCACTCTCTGGCCCAAAATGTCAACGGTACCGGGGCTGAGAAGCCGTGTATTAGAGCAGTGCCTCTCCATCCTGGTTACATATCAAACATACTAGAAGAGCTTTAAAAAATACTGAGGCGTGGGTCCTACTCCAACATAACGGAATCAGAATCTCTGAGAGTGGGGCCCTCATGTTTTAAAAGCTCCCACATGATCCTAACATGCAGCCTGCATCGAAATCCGTAACACTGACCCATGAGCTGCCTGCATGCGTCCGTCATGGAGCCGTCCTCCTCCCCTCCACAGAACCTACTGGGCGTTTCGCTGAAACAAGTGCCCAGTAAATATTTGTTGCCTGGATGAGGGGATGAAGTAGCCATCTATCATTAGTACCCTACAAACTGCAGTGCTGGACTCACATTGACTTTCAACGTTCTATTGGTGGCTGATGGAAGTTTATTTTCTAGTCAATTATTCAGTACATCAAAAGGATACAACTTCCAGGCACGAGTCTACAGCATGCTAATATGCTTTCTGTTGGAATAATTACTTCTGAAAGTGAAAGGTACAAAAACAGTCTGGACAGTACATTTATGCCAAAGGAAACTTACAGAATTAACTCACCATTTTTTTTGTCACCCCTACTGATCATATGCAGTGAGAAGAATGAGAAGTTGTATATTTGGATGAGTGTGGTGGCTTAGGCCTGTAATCCCAGCACTTTTGGAGGTTGAGGCAGGCGGATCATGAGGTCAGGAGTTCAAGACCAGCCTACTAATCAATACAAAAATTAGCCGGGCATGGTGGCGCATGCCTGTAGTCCCAGCTACTTGGGAGGCAAAAGTGGGAGAATACTTGAATCCAGGAGGCAGAGGCTGCAGTGAGCCAAGATCACACCACCGTATTCCAGCCTGGGTGACACACTGAGACTCCGTCTCAAAACAAACAAACAAAAATTGTGTCTTAAGTGCAGGCCTGGAAACTTCGCTTGGTATCACTCAAGGAGATATAAGAAAATAAAAAATCCAAACCAGAGCAGGAAGAAAAGTTTAATATCAGGAAACTGCTAACACTAATCAGATTTTCCTATAATCAGAATTACTTGATCAGTGACTTATTCACATCTAATTGATATATGGGGAGTTTTGACGGAAACTCTAAAGTGGTGAGTGGTAAGTAAAGATAAGGTCTTTAGTATCGAAACTGGCATCATCCAACATACCCACGTGCCAGCTGCTAAACAAGAGAATGGTATTATCACCCCTGGATCCCTGGGGCTCTCTGAGGTCAGTATGAGGCCTTCAGCTGGGTGTTGAGAAAGCCTAGGGCCTTTATCCAGAGCCATGGCTGACAGTGAGAACGCAAGGGTCCACAACAGAGACCTATCCCTGCAGCTTAGGGAGGGAGACGCTGGAGTAAATGTTCCGTTAGCACAGGTGAGATGAGAGCCTTGCTGGGCAAGAGCAGGGGCAACAGGGTTTGCAGGAAGGGCACTAACACAGCCCTGGAGGAAGAGATGAGGTGGAGAAGGCTTCTCAGCAGTGGTAAAGGAGTGACACCCTGACAGATAAGACAGAGCTTAGAAGGGAGAGACTACTGCGGGTAAGAGAAACAGCAGGTGCAAAGGCCCAGGGGCAGGGGAGCTTGATGTGTTGGGGAACTCCAAGAAGTTCCACATACCAAGTGGCTCTTCAAGAGGTAGAAAGGCCTGTAATCCCAGCACTTTGGCAGGCTGAGACGGGTGGATCACTTGAGGTCAAGAGTTCAAGACCAGACTGGCCAACATGGTAAAAAACCCCATCTCTACCAAAATATAAAAAATTAGCTGGGTGTGGTGGTGTGCGCCTGTAATCCCAGCTACTTGTGGGGCTGAGGCAGGAGAATCACTTGAATCTGTGAGGTGGAGGTTGCAGTGAACTAAGATTGTACCACTGCCCTCCAGCCTGGGTGACAGAGTGAGACCCTGCCTCAAAAAAAAAAAAAAAGAAAAAAAGAAAAAGAAAAAAAAAAAAGGTGGAAGGAATAGACAGGGAGGTTGAAGCTAGAGAGGCAGCCAGGGCCAGATGGTAAAGGCCAAATAAACGTCTCGAATGAGAAGTGCATGTTTGAAGGGACAGAAAAATGGTGAACATCTTCGGGCGGGTACAGAGTGCAGAGGAAGACACTATTTCTCCTTCTTGGTGTCCATGAGTACTTGACATGGGACAGACTCTACATTCAAAAGCCAGATCCCCCACTTCCTACTGCATGGCACGGGGCAGGTGACTAAGCTCATCTATATTCAGGAAATAAAAAGAACACCTATTTCCCAAGGTTGCTAGGAGGATCAATGGGATAATGTATACAGGGTTGAGGCTACGGGGGGAAGAACCGATGAAACCGGGAGAACCGCTGAGTTCACACTGGGAGGGTGGAGAATTCCAGGGGATCAGTGTAAATAGGAGAATCACTGTGAAAGGGAGAAGGAGGTAGAAGAGTTGAGGAACATTTTAGCTTGTCAAAGAGGTTTTTTTTTCTGTTTTACAAGCTGGGAGACAAGAAGAAAAGAGTGGAGAAAATTGGGGGGAGGGAGGGAGTCCATGTACCAGGAATATAGCCACCATTTGGCATTTTCTCAAAATACTGCAGCAGAGATTTAAAGGATTTAAATTGCTTTTCATTCATTTTTGGATGTTGGCCTCAGATTCCTCTGACTCTGGGCCAAGCTGCCATGGGCCATGAGTGACACACAGAAGGCCCCATTACCTGGGGCTTAATAGGCTCTTGACAAAGCTTGCTGTTGCAGCTGCCGCTGCAAGTTTTACGGTTGTGGTTGTTTTTAAGGCTAGGCTGTCACAAGGGCCCCTTTCCAGCATAAGCATTGCTCTGAGTCTCCAAATCCCTCATCCACCTGTTGGAAGCCAGGGTGTCTGGAGATCGGCCTCTGCAGGGAAGGCACTGTGTGCCCCCCAGCTCTGAGGGCTGGTGGTTTCTCAATCTCTGCATTGCAACTGCATGGGGGTAACCTCCTGGCCTCACCTACACCCTAGCAGACAATGTGAGGCCTCGAGTAATACAAATACAAGGCACGGTCTGGGAATAAACAATACGTCCAGAGGTAAGCAGAGGAGCTTGCAGTCTGCTAACTGCACTCTCCAGCTTTGCTGTTTCAGCAGTGGGATGCGGCCATGGATGGGCCTGGTCAGGCTGTTATTCACTTAGACTCTTGTTCATGCAAGATCAGGGGAAATGCAATTTTTAAGATAAGTTCTTTGGTCAGTGCATTCCCTGGAATGGAGACTCGTTTGGTCTCAAATAGACTACATTGAGTCAATTTAATTCTTATAACAGGACAATAACCGAGACTGATTTATAATGTAACTTTCTGGATATTAAAATGTTACTGAAATCGTTGTCATGAAAAATAATGGCTTGTGTTTTTATTTTAACCATTCTCGAGGTCCATCCCTTCTTTTAAAATTTATTTCCACTCACATAAAGAAATTGCTTTATCATCTAATTAAAGAAAATCAGCTCCTCCCACCCACCCTGCATGGTGATTTATTTTCTCTATAGAAAATGTAAGTAACTGGCCAGGAATCTAAATGTTTAACACAAGGAAAAATGAAATTTTTGAAAATGAAAATAAATGATCAATTTTTCTTTGTTCAGAGAAATTGCTGCTCCTGAAAGATATAAGATGTAGGAAGAAGAAACTAATGATCTCAACTCTTAAGTCCCTTGAAAGCTGCCACTGGGCCTTCATATGCTCCTTCCCATGATGCCTTACAAAGACATTCATGGAATCCTTCTGGGTGCTGGCTCTTGCTTAAGAAATCCAAGGACCAGAGCAGACGACAGACACTTCTAGCAAGTCACTGTAATGAAATGAGAACAGTGTCTTTAGGAGAAAGAGGTACCAAAGGACTTCAGAGAGAAGAACCCCGAAGATAAAAGAGGGAAGGGATGGGTTCAGAGGAGGGGACATTTGAGGGGCTATTGACTGGTGGGTAGGAACTGTCCAAATAGAGGCAGGTGTATGAAAAGAGAGGGCGTATGGCGCAAGTCGAACATCACGAATTGAAAGGAGGTAGGGCTGAAGACACCTGGCCCCTAGAACTGATCTTCCAGTTGATAGAGTAGCATGAGAAAGGGTCACCTGCTATGTTATAGAAACCTTTCTGACTTCAGGGTTGAACACAAGGCAGGACGGAAGGGGCCATTCTGGGAGGCCAGGTAGGAACCACCACATGGGTCCAAGCAAGAGATGGCCGGGCGGGGGGCTGGACAGGGCAGCGGTGGTGTGGGTGCCCCGGGGCACATGCCAAGGATTCCTGGAAGGTGGGATCAGTACAACTGGATGACCCATCACGTAGCATCAGGTTTTCAGGAAGAGAACACACAAAGCTGTGGGCTGGAAAAAGTACCTGCACTCCTCCCCCCAAAAAGGTGTCAGGAACATGGAAAAAGGGGCAGGCATTATAGTTAGGAAAATCGTGGCAAAGCGAACTGGGTAGGAATTGGTGTCAGAGTGTCTCAGGTCTGGAAGAAGTCTTTCCTGATAAATGGTTTTCAAGCCTTTCTTGACATACTTCTGGGGATGGGGAGCTCACTACCCATGCAGACATCCTATTCCCTTGACCCTCTGCTAGCACCTTGAACCACCATCTCTTCCTTTGGTTTCACATATACAGATTCCCTTGAATTTTTTCTTTCAGTTGCCCAGTGAAACTTCCTGCAAACACACTTGATTTAGCAAGACCTAAACCAGTCCTCTCCTCCTGCTGATGGAAGATCTTCCACTAGAGCAGGGCAACAGCTAAGAAAAACTGACAGAGAAGGAACATCATGTACAACATCTGTGGTTGCTCGCTCCTGCCTTTGGCCTTGGGTTTTAAGCCACTTTGGCTGCCTGAGTCCCCCGCCCCATCCCATTACCGTGCTGTTGCAGCCGGCAAAGCAGGCGGACAGGTAGGTGATGCCATCTGCCCCACACACTGGAGTGAAGGAATCGGTTTGGCATTCACAGTTATTATTGCAGGGTGAGTAGGGGTCCAGGGCTGAGCCAGGTGCTGTGCTGGAAAAGAAAGGAAACACGGAAGCCATTAGAACAGGTCAATTTGGAATCGGATGTCGCCAGTGACAGCCTTCTGCCTCTGCAGTGATGAGTCACATGGTACCCTGCTTATAGGATTCTTACCTAGCTCTCCCTTCCCTTTTCCTTTTCCAACCTCCCTGTCCAGCAAGGAGCAGCCCAAGGCCACCACTGAGAGCTATGTGGGTTGTGCCCTGCACAGTGGTGCCAGCTTGTGTGGAAGCCAAGTCCACTCCACCCCCTCTCATGAAGCATGGACGAAGATGCTCTTTATCACTGGAATTGATGTGTTCTCTGCACTGGTGACAGTTGGGTCCCTGCTCAGGGCCACCCCTCCATGATGTCTCTCCTGATTGCTATGGCCTCAAGTTATCCCCCTGTCCTGAACCAACACCTATGCCTGCTCCTTGAACAATTAACTTCTTCCCTCATTGGGCTGGTTCTTGTCTCTGCTTTATGCCTCCCCAGCGGTCAAGAAGTGTCATGACGCTGACTTACTACACAGCTACAACCAGACTGGCTTCAATCATTACTGTCTCATTGATTCAGTGTCCTGAGACAAATAACACTCATGTTTTAAATTTTCCTTTGCGTCATTAAAGGCACAGCTACCTAGAGCAAACAAACTGAAAAAAGAGCAAAAGGGCAGAGTGGGCGTGTTAGCACTGTAACAGACGAAAGCTCTCTTCTTTAGTCTGATTATTTTCAGCTCTGTCTCCTCAGGCTCACAGCGCTTCATAACAATAAATATGATGACCGCGACACCTGGCAATTGCTGTGTCATGCGCTTTTCAAAGGACTACATGGATCATTTCATTATTCTCATTATAACCCCATGGCTTCAGAGAAGAAACTGAGGCATAGCTAGGGTTAAGTGACTCGCCAAAAAGTACCCAGCTCATAAATGGTAGAGGAGGCATTAGCAACAGGGAAGTCTGACTGTAGGATATACACTTGTTTTTTCTTTTTTATGGAAGAATAACATCCTTATGGGAAGATCTTGTACTTCTAACCACTACACTTTACTACTGGGGAGCTGAGCCACCTGCTACTCGAGATGGCTGTTCGGCATAGCCGGATGTACAAGCAGGAAAAAGCCACACCTGGACAGGAAGGAACTGGGTGCCAGGCTGGGGTGGGGACTGGAAGGGGCAATCCCGTGGTGGTGTAAAGGGGAAGCAGGGGCACATGGTGCCTGGACTGCACAGACACACAGAAAGCTGCCTCTGCTCTGCTCTCCCACTCTGCCTGCTCACCCTTGTGGGTGACAGGAATGCCCTGGCCCCATGTATCTTCTGGGCCAAGTGCAGGAGCAGGCCTGGTGGCCTGCTTGGAGGAAGAGTCTGGCTCTGGAAAGAGAGAAACTGGGAACCTGCAGGCCAGCCATGCTGCAGCCTCCATGCTCCAGGCTGGATTCCCAAGGCAGCCTCAATCCCATGTGGAAAAGGGGACAGCTTTTGAGAATGGATTGCCGAGGACGCCCCATAATTCCCTGTAAGGGCAGTTCTCACTGGACTCTAGTCTGAAGTCTTGGGATAAAAACTAGGAAGAAAGAAAAGTGGTTCCATGAGAACTCACTTCCTTCTCTTCCTCCCTCCCTTCCCTTCAGCCCCTTTCCCCCCACTTTCCCCCTCTACACTTAAAAATACCTGCCAAGGGCAAGAGCCTCTAATTGTCATGTGAGGCTAATGATGGCTTTTGATAGTTTAAGGAATTGTTGAAATCAATCGATTCTTTTATTTTGAGCTGAATTTTGAATTAAAATTTTTATTTTCTATCTTCACATCTTTCCTAAAGTCAAATGGCAGAAATCGTGATGTGGGTACGCTAGGGAGGAAACGGTGTCTCTTCTGCCCCAGAGCTTCCTGGCTTTGAGTGGACAGGTCTCAATGCTCTCTCAGCCCAGAGGCTTCTACTGAGTCTCCAATGTGGAGAGTGTGATGCAGAGTCCTCGGGGGGGACTCTAGGAACAAAGCTGGCTCCCTCAACCTACTGCGGAGGGAGAGCGCGGGGCTCCATGAGCAGGCAGGACGGCGGCAGACTCTGCCGGTACTCACTTGTTTCCATAGGGAACAGTAACCCCAGCCACCGGGCCTGTGTCGCAGCCCAGGAAGAGGAAGGAGACGTAGCAAGCTGTGGACACCAGGTTGACGAGCATGGCCATCCGAATGGCCCCCAGGGCAGACAGGCTGAGCTTCTTCACCAAAAGACCGCCCAGGAAGATTCCCAGACAAGCACATGGGATCGCAGTCATCCCTGGAAGGAAAACAGAAGGGCGGGGCTGTGAATAGGGCAGGAGGGGCCAGTCCACAGACGGCGAACTGCAGGCTTGAGGCCGAGTCCCTCGAATGCCCCGTGACCCCACTGCGGTGTCACTGCCTCCACGGGGCCCTGAAGCCTTTAGGGTTTCTGCCCACAGGGGGCTCATGGAGAACTGGGGCACACAGGCAAAAAGCAATTCTGTTTAGTGAGTCTAAGTGTATGCAGCTGTCCTGCTAAGTGTGAGAAACACAAGCTGAAGAGGGGACTACCAAGTGACAGAGTCAGACAGGCTGGGAACACAGACACGCCTTCGGGAGAGTACATATCATGAAGCAGAAATGTGCTCTGTGCACATGTTTCAGATCATGTGGGAAGGGGACTTGAACATTTCTAGGAATTTTCTCCCCATCTTCTAATGAGGCAAGAAGGGAGGGTTTTGCGGAAGGAATAGAGGCTGTTTAACCTAAAGGTCAGAGAATTCACCAGGCCTGACAGAGAGTGTTTGAACCAGCTCTGCCACCCCTCAGGAAGCGGCATCAGTCAATACATTTTGTAGCTCTCGGTGAAAAATGGCATATAAAATTTTTCCTCTCTCTCTCTACTACACAGGGCTATCTGCAAGGCAGCAGGGCCATAAACCCGTTATTTGTGATTCGCAGAGACCCACGGCATTTTAGGAGGACCAAAGGATCTCAGAGTTCCAGTCTCCTGCGTTGGCTTTGCTCCATTCTGATTCATTTCATCTAAAACTCAGCTTTCACTTGCCACGTGTCATTTATCTACCATGTACATTATGCACGGCCAGTTTTCCAGTCTAGGCTGCCTTCTTGCCAATCAACAGGCCTCTAGGTCAATTGAGTACATTAACCAGCTGGTATGTGCTAAGGGAATGCAAATTAATTTTAATATTGGGGAGAGAAAATATAATCAGGGAGGTGTAGCTCTGCAAGAAAACAACACAAGTCATTCCTAAAATCACAGATACTCTCTCTGTATCATCTGCTGCTCTTGGAATATTGCACTTGGTTTCCCTCCCTTGGTATAGAAGTGATCTTATGAGCCAGCTCCTGGGTGCCTCTCTATCCTCATCCCGTGCCACACTGCCCACCCCAACCATGCCACCCTCCCTCCTTTCTCTTCCTGGGACAGGCCAAACAGTGCCGGTTCCCCAGACTTTGCATATGCAGTTCCCTTTCCTGGGACACTTGCTCAATGTGTTTACTTGGCTGGCCCCTGTCCTCTTCAGACAGGTTTCCCAGGCCACCCTCTCTAGAGATCCATGCACCCCTGCCCTGAGATTCCGTGCTTTTTCTCACTCCACGGCTCTCCCAGCTCTCTGAAGCAGCCTCATTTATGTTTGAGTTTCTTGTTTCTTGCACACACTCTCTCTCTCTGCTAGGATGCAGCTTTCCTGGGGACAAAACCCTGTTTTGTCTTGTGCAGTCCAGCCCAGATTCTCTGTGTCTAGCATGGTTCCCAGCACCCAGTTGGTATCCAAGTATTATTTTCAGAATGAATGAGCTGGGGAACAGATTGGATCTGTGTGAATGGACATCAGTGACAACATGCTCACACCCAGAAAGCACGCCTGTGTTTTGTTTCATTTTCTAGCAGAGACAGTAGGGGCATCACCTGTCAAGGATGGTAACCATGGCAATCACAGGCTTCCACACCTTTTCTCTAAGCCATCGTCAAGCCCCCTCTCTCTCCTCCCTCAACACTCCAGGCAGTGATCAGAACTTCCCTGAAACTCCATTGTCATTACTTTAACATATGCATATTGAGCCTGTTTTTATCTTCACTCACAAATCAACACCACCAGCCCTTTAATCGCCTACAATGCTCTTCTCTGAGCTCCGCCCCACTTGCTGAAGACTTTGTGGAGGGGAGGGTGGAAGGGGGCGTGTGCTGCTCTGGGATGACTGCCTGGGCCTCATCTCCCAAGTCTGCCTTCTCTAGCTGCCCACTGCCAGCCCCTCTTGCAGCCAGCCTCCAGGGTCCATACTGACTGGACTGTCACCTAGGGCAGGGCACACAAAGAGGGCACCTGGGCTGCCTGCCTGGACTGCCCAGCACAGAAAAAAGTGCCTCCTGCAAAGCACACTAACAGATAGAGATCACTGGGAGACAAAAAGGTGCAATAAGGCAGAATTGTTTTTTTGACCTTCTGCCCTGAAGACTATTGATTTGTTTGTTGATAGAAGACGCAGGCATGTGTTCTGAGACAGAACACGGCCCAAAGTTGAAGCAACTGTGCAAATGTAATCAAAATGGAAGGAAAAGCAGCAGAGGAGTCAGCAGGTGAGAGAGAAACTCTTCGGGCGCTGAAGGGCTAAACCTGAGAGATCCTGGAGATGACACTGAAGTTCCAACTTTAATCATAAAGAGGTGTATTCTACCCTGTCTCTGTCAGGCAGATATTAAAGGGCTGAATGCATTTTGCCAATACCTCTTGGAGGTAAAATTTACCAAGTGGAGGGTGGCAGAAGGTTATCTGTATAAAAGGAAAATGTAAGTAAGGCTTGTGGTACCCTAGCATTTGCCAGGGAGTGGGGTGGTAATCCCGCCCTATCACTGTGATAGGGTTTTACTTTTCCATTTAAACTGGGATATTTTATGTCCTGTGAAGTACACAGAGCTTAAGGCAACAGCCTGATGAACTTCTGCATCTGTACACACCCCTATGGCTCAGATTGACCTGAGAATCCTTCCAGCAGCCAAGGAGGCTCCCTGATGTGCCCTCCCAGTTAGCTTCCCCCAAGGGTAAAACTGTTCTGGACTCTATCACCTTAATTAACTATTCCTCTTTTTAATTCATCTAAACATGTTCTCCTTTGAGTCTCATGCCCTTCAACTCTGTGAGATTCAGCCGCATTGAGGCATGTATCAGAGTTCTTTCTTCCTCATTCTATGTAGTGGTTTACCACAGAACATTGTATAATTTATTTACCTATTCTGTTGACGGACATTTAGGTTGTTTCATGTTTGGGTCTATTATGTGTAAAACAGCTCTGGACATTATTACATATGCTATGTAAATGAGTGAACCTAAACATTTATTTCTGTTGGATAGATAATCAGAAACGGAACTGATAGATCACAGCAGAGACATATGGTTAGCTTTAACAGGCATGGCCAAAGAGTTTTCTAAAGTGGTGGCACCAATGTGCATTCCCACTGGCTGAGTATGAGAGTTCCAGTAGCTCCACATCCTCCCTAACACTTGCTGCTATCAGTCTGATGGATGTGTCGCTGCATCCCATTGTGGTTCCAATGTACATTTCTCTGATGACTCATGATGGTTAGCACCTTTGTGTTTGTTTCCTGGCCATCTTATGACATGATAGGAGATTTGAAAGGAGAAGATCAGAAAGCATCACCTTCCCTTTCCTCTAAGCAGACAATCTGACTCCTCCTTTACAGAGAAGATGAAGTCTGTGGAGCCGTAGCTGCCCCCACGCCTGGCCATATCACCACACTCTCAGTTGCTTCCATCATGTGTCCTTCCCTCCTCTTTCAGGAGGACAGGTGAGCACCTCTGTCAAGGGCTGTCCACCACTTTCCCTCTCTCTTCTGCAGATCCCCAGCTGTGAGCTCCTTTCCTTCCACTGAGAAACCTGCTCAAGTCTTCCCTGTCCCAGAAACCACATACTCATCATTCCCTCCCTTGACTCCAACACACGCCATAGGCCAAGTCCTTTCTCTCTTCTTCCCTGGCTAAGTCCCATGCTCACTGTCTATTCCTTCCCTCTTGTGGGCTGCTCTCCACACCACAGAACAGGTGCCACCACTGCCACTTCAGGGACACAGCCCTGACCCAGGCTGTAAGCTGTCCTCATCATTAAAGCCAACAGGGACATTTGGGCCTGCACCGTGCATCACCACTCACATGTCAGATGGCTACTTTCTTCCCGGAATCATTTCACCCTTGACTTCCATGACCCACATTCTCTGCATTTCTTTTGGATGCTGCTGTTTAAATGTCTCTGCAGACTCCTCTATTTCTTCAGGATGGGGTTTTACCTGTCTTTCTCTAACTCTACACATTTTTTCCTACATAAATTCCACTCCAGTGTCCTTAACTACCATCCATATGCTGAGGTAACTGAACCTCCATTACTACCTATAATTCAGATGATCATCCCAGAACCCCTTCTTGAGCCCTTGGCTGAATACTGGACATCACTTAGACATGCCATGGGCATCTCACACTCAGCAGCTTCAGGTCTGAATGGGCAACTTTGCACACATTTGATTTTTCCTCATTATTTCCAGTTTTTACAAATGGTACCACAAGCTCTCCAAGCCAGAAACCTGAGAGCCCTTGTTCACTCTTCCCTCTTGTTTAATTGCTATGTCTCTGTTGCTGTTGTGTCCACTAGTGATCAATATCTCAGCTGATTAACTCAACAAATGCGGCTTCCTGGTCATTTGAAGGAAAGGATAATATATTATCACAAAACAAAAAGCAAACTAAGACATGCTGCGGGACGACATTCCTTACCCTGCCTAAGCAACCCTGCTTCTCATGAGTGCACACTGGTTTCCTTTAGTATGTCAACTCCTAACAGTTGGGAGTAGAAACCTGTAGTCTACGATTTAAAGAACTGTAAAGCCATGCCTGAGCTTGGGGAGAAGGAGTGTCACGATCCATTAGTTATGTCTGCTGTGGGCACAGAGAGTAGGGAGCATATGGCTTCCAAGCTCTGCATGTATTAACTATGGGTTTCATGCTGCGAAGAATATTCTTACTTTCTTATGTGTCTGATTAAAACCTGCTAACCTTTCAAGATTTATCCTTGTTCATCATATCTCCCTCAGATTTCCCAGTTCACACCCATCTATCAACTTCCTGGTCTCTCAAATGCTTCCTTTGTACATTTTATATTTTCACTCTTTATTATCATGTGCTTTTGGCAATTGCTCCAGGCAGACAAATCTTACTCTGAGAATATACTTTACATTCCTTGTGCACAGAGGCCACATATATTTTGTTGCTTTAGGCCCAGAGCAGAATGGAGCTTTTCAGCAGGCTCTGTAAATTCTTAGTGCCTTATACACAGGACACCCTTCCTGACCCTCTCAAGAGGCCTGAGGAGCACACTCACCGAGCAGCTGGTTGGCAGAAGAGGTGGTGAGGTTAAACTGCTGTTCCAGGTATTTCCCCAAGAAGGCAGCAAAGCCAGCCACCACTGCAATCTCCATGCAGGCAGCCAGGATGATGCAGGTGAACACAGGGTTTGAGAGCAGGTGCTTGGTGACCTTCGGGATCACTGCAGGGAGAGAGACGGCAGAGGGTCAGGGTCAAGGTCATACCCTGTGTTAACCTCTTATGGCCGCCTGCTCCTGAGGCCCCTTCTTGCCCTGCTCTTGTCCATTTCAGCAAACAGTCTCCAGAAGCACCCGGTGGCTCAGGACAAAATCTATACCCCATAAGTCATCCATGATTATGAAAGCTCTGGCTTCAGAACATACACTGATATGTTGCCAATTACCAGCTTCTATCAAAACTGGAGAGACTATACCAGGACTTTTCTTATAGTTCAGCAGACACACTAAACATTTTTTTAAAGCGATCAGAAGATATTTTCATCCTCTACTAACGATGTGTGTGTGTTAAGAAAATATACTTAATTTTAGCAGTTTCATGAGAGAGATGAAATTCTTGTGCTCTTCAAAATATGTAGATACCTAATCAAACCCCTTCTTGCCATCTTCATGGCTACCTCTCTAGCAAAAGTTTCCATCAGCTCTCACTTGGAGACCACCAGAGCCACCCAACTGGGGTCTTGGTTTTCACTCTTGATCCAATATAATCATTCCCTGAGTAGCAGTCAGCGAGATCAGCTCAAATCAGTTTCCTGCTCAAAACCCTGGAACAATCAAAATCCACACACCGTGCCATGGCCCGAGGTCTACCCCTCAGTGATCTGATCACACCCCCGGCCCCTCCCCTTCCCACCCTCCTGTCCAGCCCCAGTGGCTCTTGCTATTTCTCGCCTGCACCCAGGTCCTCCCCACCCAGGTTTTTGTCCTTGGGGCTCTTCCCCACACAAGAATGCAGCAGGGCACAGTGGCTCACACCTGTAATCCCAGCACTTTGGCAGGCCAAGGCGGGCGGATCACAAGGTTAAGAGATTGAGACCATCCTGGCCAACACGGTGAAACCCCGATTCTACTAAAAATACAAAAATTAGCAGGGCATGGTGGCATGCACCTGTAATTCCAGCTACTCGGGAGGCTGAAGCAGGAGAATCACTTGAATCCAGGAGACAGAGGTTGCAGTGAGTCTAAATCACGCCACTGCATTCCAGCCTAGTGACAGAGGGAGACTCTGTCTCAAAAAAAAAAAAAAAAAAAAGAAACAAAACAACAACAACAACAACAAAAAAAACGCTCTGCCTGCAGATCTTTGCTGAATGTGTTCCCTTCTCCCTTCTCCCTTCTCCTTAGGGGGTCTATTCTCATCACCCAGTCCACCCTAGAAGCCTCCCACTCAGTCCTGGGTGCTCAGGGCTTCTATGAGAGCTGCTGATGTGCAAAAGTGCTCTGAGGTTCATGCGCCACTTTAAATGATGACGGAGCCAGAAAGCAGGAATTGCTGAGGTCTTGTGTTTCATTCTTTCTTTATTTCACGCTATTTTTCTTAAAGCATGAAGTTTCATATGCCACTAAGACTTCCCCTTATATTGGTGCTTTTAAAATAGGAGAATCATTTTTCAAAAATCCTTTGAAAACAAGCACATTATTTGGATATTCCCAGCAAACAGAATCCGTGGCATGTGGTCTTCAGCCAAGTCTCCTAAATTATGGTATGACGTATCCTAGAAGTGTGCAAGAGAGCTCTGGGGCACCGGGACAGCTCTGTCATTTCGATATCTGTGCCATGGTTTTAATGTGTATTTACAACAAAGTTGAAATACAGCGATGCACCTAATGTGTGGTTTCACGGCTGTTATGGTTTAAAACACTGCTAGGTTACAAAAAGTAAGTAGATTTAAAGTTATTTAAAGAGAAGTCTTATGCGCGTAATGGTTCAGGTGGAATGCAAATAAGGCAAAAATTATAGCGGTGGTGTCCCAGAGACTATAAAGTTAGGAGAAGTCTTTGCTGCCGTGATCATAAAAGTGTGGAATATTGGACATGCAGTTTACTTGTTTCCAACTATGCAAACAGAACAGATAAAACACAGAGTCCCAGATGAAGCAGGCGCGATACCCCTCTCTAGGAAAAACTGATCAGTGCCATGGTGGCATGCAAAATAAACAGGTGGGCAGGAAGTCTCACATTGCATTCCAAGGTGATGAATTAGCCAGCTGTCCTAAAGAAGAGAGCTAATTATACACGCTCAATCTCATCTCCTAGGAGACAAAACCTCTAAATGGCCCAACTAATTAGAATAAAATAATAATAGGGGATGCCTAAGTTTTTAATAATGTTAACAGACCAGCTCAATAAGTCAAGAACTGGCAGATATAAAAAAGAATTTGTCATTTCTAGGAATGGTACCAAGTTTCTAGAATGAAAATCTACATAGAAGACAGGCATCTAAGGGTTCTTTGACATAACGAAAATAACTCAATTATACAAATGTACTGAACCAAAAGCTTGGAATTGGCAAAGCCTGAGCAACCGAATCCTACGTCATAGCCAAATGATAATCAGAGCTGGTGGCCTTGGCTGTTCTGCGGTGGTTCCTTGTAAAATACCTGAAACCTTACAAAGGCAACTCTGATTAAATCCATGCACAAATAAAAATAACACTTTTTAAAGGGTATGAATAAGAATAAAGACGACAAGAAAACAACTTTAAGTCCATGCTACTAATCCACTTATAACCTCCTTGATTTTAAGTGTACTAGTCTTTATGTGTGTGTTTTGCCTATTTCTACATGGTTCATGGTTTCAAACATTTACAATCATCTGAATTTTTAGCAACAGCATTTGAAATAAATGTTTAGAAGTGTTTACTTTCATAACATCTATATGTAAATCTTGGGAAATTTTCCTGTGTTAAATCCACATTATGTTTAAAGTATAGTACAAATATTTAGAGGACTGCTGACTGTGAAATATTTTAAAATGTGGATTGTTCAACAAATATAGATGAATTCATTGGGCAGAAACAGAGGACAATGAGGTAAGCATTTATCTTCATGTGCAGAATCCCCTTGGATGTTAAAACTCTATCCTCATAAATCACTACTAATGAGTGAAAGCTGGTTTGCCATAGTGTGTGGCACATTGTGATGATGTAATGTACTCGTGGAAAGAGACTTGCTGGTCATGCCATGGAACAAGTTTCACAATGTAGTAAGAAAAGTATGGATCAGCTCAGGTGATTACAGTGCCTCCTTGTACTGAATACATTTGAATGTACTGGCGGTTTACATGTTTCGGCAGGTAACAACGCCATTCCTCAATCACAGTGTTCTTCTGGAATAAAGACATCTAAATTCTGGAAATACTGCCAATGTCAAATAGGCAGGTTGGGAACATTCCAGAAAAATGATCCTCTGCTATGCTTTCACTGTAGCCTTCATGTCTTTCGTTAGGGTACAGAATCTTCAGAGTCTAGGACTCCTGAAGAATCAAGGACCACAGCCACTCTTGGTCAGAAATAAAACTGCTGCCAGGCTCCAGCATCTGCTGATCAGCAACTTTGCTTTTTGGCTCAGAAATGACACTGATGATGATTTTAGTTTGATCACGTTATCTGTTTAGGTCCTGGTATCTCCTTGTCCTTGTTCAGAGTCATGATTTGTTTGGGGTTGAGGAAGGCACCATTCAACAGAGGCAACTCCGGTTAATGGAATGCTTTTCTACTTCAGCAAGCAATTTCATTATTCTGGAGACAATTCCACTTCAGTGGGAAGGATTCCTTCTCAAGATAGGAGTCTGCCTGTTTTTGTTTTAATATCTAATAGCTAATTTCTCCTTGAATTAGATATGAAAAATCACTAGGTTTGAGAATCATTTGACTGAATCATTTGACTCAAGGAAGCCTCAGTGGGCCTTATTTGCATGAAGAACGTTTTTCTCCCCTCTACTAAGCCAATTTGCCTCCAGAAATGATAGTTTGCTATTGTGTTTGCTATTTCCTTCCAGGTCCTTCCTCCCATCCCCAGTTTTATGGTAATGACTTGTAGCACCCTCAAAAGATGATGGATTTTCAAAGGTTCAGCCTACCTTCCAAACCCCAGTTTGAGAAGGGCTATTAATTAGCTTGATCGTAGGGCCAACCCCGTGTTTCAAGATTTTTCATTCAAATAGATTGTTAAGCCTATAGAATTCTGATTCTTTAAGGAGGCGGCAGCTAATGGGGTGGCCCAAACAAACAGAAACTGATGAACCAAAGCCACACCAGGCCACTGAACATCTACAGACTCTCTTAGCTATGTACCCCCTACCTACTGATTTAGCCTCAGAACTTGGGAGCTGGAGGTGAGAGGTAGGCTGCCTTAAATTAGGCAGCCTCACCAGCTGGAGAAACCTTTTCAACTCTCATTAGGAGCCTGGCACTGTCACCAGCAAGATGATACAAAATTGGAAAGAGCGGCAGGAGACTGGTCTCTAGGGAAAACAGGTTTTCTCCTGCTAGTCTTCAAAAGAGATTCCTGTAGGATTAAGGTTTCTTGGAAACTTATGGGTCCTTCAGGATGAAGAAAGGCAGATTTTGGAGGAGTCATGAAAACTAACATCAGCCGAGTATTTCCTCTGTGCCAAATGCCATTCTAAGTGCTTACATATCTGCTCACCTAATGCTCCCAACAAACCTGTGATCTTGGGACTATGAAATTCCCCATTTATAGATTAAAAAAAACAAAGGCAGAGAGAGGTCCCATGGTTAGAGCAGCACAGCAGAAACTCAAACTCTGGTACCTGCTGCCACAGCAGGTGCTTGTAACCAGCACGCTATTCTGGTCTGGCTTCTGAGCTGCTCTTGGTTTGAAGATTAAGCATGCAGGCTACTCCCGATAGTCAAAGGTGCAGCTTCATTCTAAGAAGTAATGACAGTAATAGCAATAATAATAATAAATTTCCACTTAGGTTGGGGAAAATGACCAGATCTGGCATGGATCTGGGGCTTAGTACTCTTTTTTTTTTTTTTTTTGAGGGAAAAGGAGTAGGAAAGAGAGGGAGGGAGAAATATTAATCAAAGGAAGAAAGAATTGTAGAGTGAGAGAGTAGGCTTGTACTGTGGGAAAAGTTTTGCTGAATTACGTTGTATAAAATGATGGCTAAGAACCTCGTCCAAGGAGGAGTCAGGTAA